GAAAAGAAAATGGAAGCTACCATCATGTTTGGCTTTGGGGTTTAGGGTCTAAGGTTTAGAAGGAATGGAGAAGGAAATGGAAACTACTTTCATGGGTTGTATAGGGACTCCTATAAGGATCCACTCCTTCTTTCCTAGCTAACCACCTAAACCCTAAACCCTAAACCAGGCCTCACAGCCTTGGACAAAGAAATCCTGGCACTCACATTCCCAAACCCTTGCCTCTCCACGAGTTGAGGGCTTAGGCATTCGGATTTAGGGGTTGGGATTCAGGGTTTAGGGTCTAGGGTCTAGAGTGGGCTTGGATGGGAATGAGGGACTATGTTATGTAGGGATGATTTTGCAGTATTCCCTACTTGCTTAGAATATGACCACCAGTAAGTATGTCTTGCATCCGAAGCCCTTGCACCCCTCTGCTCACGATCTCAGACAGCGAGAACGGCACCTGGAAGAGCTCGCGAACTTTCTGCGCAACCTCTTTTCCACACCAGTCCTTGTAGTCGTCCCGGAGGGCCTGTTCTTCTGAAAGGCTAGTTTAGGTTTAGGGTTTAGGGTTCAGTTAAGGGCTTGGGGTTTAGGATTTAGGGTTTATGGATACGGTTTAGAGCTGCATCAAATTGCAAAGATGGTTTCTCACAACAACTTCATCAAGCCACATGTCCCTGCTTTTGGGACACAATGCTGTTGAGACCTGTAATTTTATGCAATCTGTTTGTGCAAAGCTGGCAGCTTCAGTTCTGTTGTCGCTCACCTAGACTTTCATGAGGCCAACTTGGGGTTTCGGGTTCCCTGTGGTGACTTCGGTAACTATGGCCAAATCCAAAGCCCCCGTCTTGGACCAAATATCTGGCGTCATGGTTTTCAATGCTTGTGACTGGACGGCAAATACTGCCCAAAGCCCCAACACAAAAATGGAACATGGTCCTTGCGATAACAACAGTTTTGAGAACACGGACTGCGCCTGTTGAGCTAGCCGAATGCAGCTGTCAGCTTACTGGCGGATACAAGCAGTGAAGAATCTGCTTTACTGCCTACTTCGTCGGCACCGCCCCCCTCCCACCAAGACAGGTATTGCCAAATGTTGCAGACAAATCCTGCCAGCAGCAAGACCCTTTTCCGGGAGCGATGAAAACACCGTCCCGCAAGCCACCACTTCCCTGCTGCCACTCCAAAGAGGAGGCTGTCTAAGCGGACCTGAATTATTGCTTCAGGCTCCACTGCCTCCGCTCTTACTGGTAGTTCTCAAATGGATGAGCCCTTGCCCTCACCAAAATGCAGATGCGCGTGCGTAAACCACGCAGTGCAGACTATGGCCTATTTCAAGGCTCGGCGGACTTAGCAAGAAGGTCACAAATAGGGTTATAAGGACCCTATGTAAGTTAGTCTGCTTATAACCCTCCTTTGCTTTGTCCCACCTCTACTTGGAAGCCCATGAGACTTAGTAACTATCACTGGGCGTGCAAAACTACTTCTAATCCACCTAAATGGGCTTGGAGGGGCTACCTCAATCAAAAGTAAGGTTATCATCCCAGTTAAAAGTCGTTACTAAGTCCCATGGGCCTCCAAATAAATCCTAAACCCTGAACCCCCAAAACCCTAAACCCTACAACCCCAAACCCTAAACCCTGAACCCCCAAACCCCTTAAACCCTCAACCGCGTGGCTGAAGTAAAGATTGCCAGGTAGGCAGTGGAGGGCTACCTTTCCTTCATTGCAAAGCGAGGCCTACCTGGACCCAGCTCCAATAGGGTTTGGGGTTTGGGGGATTTAGGGTTTGAGTTTCGGGGGTTTGGGGGTTCAGGGTTTAAGGGTTAGGGTTTACCGTTTGGGGGTTTAGGGTTTGCGGTTTAGGGTTTAGGGTCTGGGGTTCCTTTTGGCTTCTGGATTGGAGTGGGGAAGCCTTAACCCGAAACCAAAGGTCCTAGAGGTGCTACTCTGCTCCCCCTAAAACCTAAACTCCCCTCATCCGCTAATAGCAAATTTTCTCCCTAATATATACTGTTTAGGGTTTAGGCTTTCGGCTGTAGGGCTTAGGGGTACCATAGTAGGCTTTTTATTAAAGTGGAGGGGACTAATTTGGAGGGCCTAGGAAGGTAACTGAAGGCAGGTGCTGGCCTTTCGTTCAACCTGATCTTAGGGTCTATATGGATTAGGCAAACACTTGCAGCGACAGACTCAACAGTATGTGTGAAACTGCACGAAACCCTGAACCCTACGTTTAGGGATTGGGTTTAGTTTGGGTTTCTGGTTTAGGGCCACGGCCTGGAATTTAGGGTTTGGCGTTTGGGTTTTGGATAAGGGTGTTGAGCTAGTGGGGACCAGAACAAGCTCGTGAAACACGACGCGGGCGCTATCGCCGGCTTACTTCCACTTCGAATTGTTGGGCTCCTCTCGATAACTCCAATAGCTTCAATTGCGAAACTTTTGTTCGGGGGCTCTGCTGACAGGACCCCTGAGCCATGCGCAGAATTGCGACATTCGTCAGGGAAAGGAACACTGCTTGGAAGTGAGCGCATGTCTACAATGGTGGTTTGCTCGAAATCCTCTGGTCGCCTCACGAAGCCCCAACAATCTCATTTTCAC